ACTCTAAATGAAATTAATTAACTCAGCTATTCTAAGCCTGATATGCTAAGAACAAATAGAGGAATCTATAAAATTTAAGATACAAGTTTTTTTTAATTATTATTATCTTGTCAGTCCTTTGGCAAGACAACAGAAGATTGGAATTCTCATCTCTAGAAGAACAAGATATATTTAAAAATCAAACTGTAATAGAAAAATAATCCTAAAGTTTTTAATAGTTTGAGCATTGAATCATTCAAGCATTGGAAATTAAAATTGTTCTCCTCTGAGTTTTACTTAGACTATGTGTTTATCCATCTTTTCAAGAAGACCCCAATAACTTTAACTTCTTCATGTATTTTTGATTCTGCCAGGCCCTTCTCTATGAGTATTTTCTTTAATCATGTCATAGATAATTAATTCCTTCTTATTAGAAACTATCTACAAACCCTAGCCATAATGATGATATATGCTATGCAAATGTTATACATGTGTGTAGAGACAGGCATGCCAAGAAAGTCAATATACTTTTTCTAGGATGTTGTAGCAACTTGGGTAAGGTCCAAAGTCAGACCTGGAAAATTTGATCACTAAACTCCATCTTAGTGACACCCATTAAGAAAGAGTGAAGAATGACTGTGATATTTGTAAAGAAAATTTCTCTTACTTTCACAAAATTATTCTTGAGATTATAAGTTTTAATATTTTTCACATAAAATACAGATCAAACTTGCCATTTTGAAAATATTTTGCTTTTCATTTCATCCAGAAGGAAAAATGTGAAGCAGGCTTGGTTATGACAAAACACCTCAAAGGGACTTAAGACTTCACCCTACAACAGGGGTTCTAAATCTTTTCTGGGTCATGGACCCCTTCAGCAGTCTGGTGGAGCCTATGGACCCCTTCTCTAAATATTTTTATTCCTACTTGAAGGCCAAATTTCAGTTAGTGATAAGTGAGGAAAAAAAACTTATTAAACAACTCACAATGCATGGACGCAACAGAATAATACTGTGCTACAAGAAACAATAACTATGAGGAATTCAGAGAAGTATGAGAAGATAAAGGAAATAATGCAAAGTAAAGACAGCAGGATGATATTTTTAGATTCATAATTGAAGGCTAAATTTCCATTAGCAATAAGTGAAAATAAAGGTATAATTTTCCCCATCAACTTCTCAAGTCTCCAAAAGCAATTCACAGACCCTTTAGGATTTGTGTACTCCAGGTTAAGAACCCTTGCCCTAGAGAGATGTAATACAATTTTTTTAAATTGGTATTCTACAAAGATTCTAAGGCACTAAGGGTAAAATTAATGTGATTGCTCTCTGCTGTATTCAATTCAATTAAAATGTACTGAGTGCGCACAAAGTGGCTGGCACTAGAAAAGCAGCAATTAGATGATATCCTACAGAGAGAGTAAAGCCTCTGGTTTCAGAGGATTTATAGCCTGCCTCTCAGAGATGAGATATAAAAGAAAGAGCTTCAAATAGTTAGTATAGGGGAAAAAATCAAATAGTATTCACATTTATTCCACAGAGTCCTTCTGAAGAAAAGAACTCTAAAGATGAATGTACTTTATGGGGAATAAAAGAAGGATCTGATGAGGATGAGAGGAAGAGACTGGGGATATGTAAGAAAAATCAGGGCCATCACTAGTAAATATGTATTTAATTGATTTTTTTTTAAACCTTGCTAGTGAAAGCACATCAGTATATCAAAAAAAAAATTACTTAGTATAATCAAATTGGATTTATACTAATAATGGAATAATGGTTCAACATTGGAAAAGAGTGAACATAGCCATATTAAAAATTAAAAAATTCAAAATACATATCAATAGATTCATTAAAAAGCCTTTGAAAAAACACAATGGTTGTACTAAAAACTCTCTAAAGTATAACTACAGAAGGACTTTTTTGATGTAGAAACCTTTTGAGGTATGAGTATATCATGTAGGATGTAGAGCAATACCTGACAAATGCTCTTAAGAACAAATATGCCAAATTCCCTTTCCTCTAATCATCTACTAATTTGTTGCCTTGTAAGTTTTCTCTCACTGGAATCAAAAGGCAAAAAATAGTCATTGTTAATATGATAAAAATATATGTGTCTAAAATTAGAAACAGTATATATGCAATAAAAAAATCAATAAATTTAATAGTAAATAAAGTATGCTCACTTTTCTTCACTGTAATTTGATATTTCTAAAAATGCTTAGGAGAACAAAAAAATAAGAAAAAAGGAATCAAAAACATAAACATAGGCAAAGAAGAGAAAAACTATCCCTACTTTCTGATGACATCATGATTTGTTCTGAAAACCCTGAAGAATCAGCAAAGAAACTAAACGAAACTATTGAAAGATTCAACAAAGTAGCAGGTTATAAAATAAACCTATAAAAAATTATAGAAGTTCCATGAAGCTATAACAAAATCCAGGAGGAAATAGCAGAAAAGGAAGCCTCATTGAAAACAACTATATAAACTTGTATAAATTATATGTAAACTATATATAAAATATCTTACCAGTCCTAGATTGTCAGTCCTAATAAATGATTGTTAATTGATTGTTTGAACCTGCAACAAATATTTCCTCATCTCTTTACAAAGAGAGAAGCATCCTAACCAATGCTGACATAAGCCTTCAAAATAAAATTATCCATTATCAGTTAATAAACAAGAATTTATTAAACGTTAGATAGTCAGTCAATAAATATTTGTTAAGCACTTATGTGCCAGGCACTGTGATAATCAATGGGGATACAAAAAGAGGCAAAAGATAGCCCCCACCCTCAGGAAGCTTAACAACTTAATGGTATACAAATACAACGAATGAAATAATCCCAACTGTAAAGAATTTTGTCTAATCGGTGTTCTGGCATCTACCAAGGTATACCTAACATGAGTATAAGTACAATTATTAAAAAAAAATTGTCATAGATGTTACCGCAATGTAATAAAACTAATAATACTATATAATCTAATAAATAGATAATGCTAGACCAATCAAACTACCAGGAGGATACCTTAAATGGATATGAAAAATAGTAAAATTCACTGGAAAGAAAAAGAAATAATAGAGGTGGAGGAGTAGATGCAATGGAATTGCACTTCCAAATTTCAAGCTATATTGTAAATCAGTAATCATGAAAACTAGTTTTTCTTTTTAAAAGAAATAGAAAAATAGATCAGTGAAACAGATTAGATAAAATACTATCAGAAATATTCAATAACCCAATGTTCAAAAAATTCCAAACATAAATTACTAGGTGAAGAACTCCATATTTGACAATAATTACTATGAAAACTAGAAAGCAATTTAGCATAAAATAGACTTAAATTAGCACCTTATATTATATACCACAATAAGTTCCAACTGGATATATAATCTAGGTGTCAAATGTCACAATATTTTTTTTAATAGAAGAAAAACATATCTGATCCCTTTTACATTTGTGACTGGGGTAGAATTCTTAACCAAAGTAGGAATAGATATGATGATAAAAAATAGAGAAATTTGATTACATGAAATTGAAAACTATTTTGCACAAACTAAACCAACATAACTATGATAAGAAAAGAAGTAGTCATTTTTGGGGGAGAATCAAAGCAAATATTATTGATAAGGGCCTTATATCTAAGATACATAGGGAGCTAACACAAATAAATAAATAAAGCCGAGAGTCCATTTCCTCAGATGGAAAAGTGGTCAAAGACTATGAACAAATAGGTCTCAGGAGAATTGGAACCTACCAATTATATGACTTTTCCAAATAGCTAAAAAAAAGGGGGGGGGATGAATTCAAATTAAAAGAATACTGAGATATTACTTCATAACCAGCAAAATGGCAAAAGATGACAAATGCTATCAATGTCGAATGGAGCTGTGGAAATTCAGACAGAATCAGTAAAAGTGTGAATCAATACAACAGTATGGAAAGCAATTTAGAATTATACTGTCACTAAATTGCTGGTAATCTTTGACTCTGAGATCCCACAGCTAGACATATACTCCAAGGACATTAAAGACATGGGTTCCATAGACAGAAAAAAAAAATTAAAGAAGAAAGAGAAAGAGGAGGAGGAGGAGGAGGAGGAGAAATAACTAGTATTTATATAACACTCTCATCTTTGCAAAGTACTTAAAATTATTATCTCATTTTATCATATCAACAACTCTGGGAGGTGTCCATTTTAGATATGAGGAAACTGATGTAAACTGAAGTTAAATGACTTGCCCAGGGTCATGAAGCTAGTAAGTGTTTGAGGCCAGATTTGAAAATGAATACAGTGGAATATGATTGTACCATGAGAAACAATAACTATGAAGAATTCATAGAAGCATGAGAGACACAGAAATTGATACAAAGTGAAGCAAGCAGGAAAACCATATACATTATGACAACCAAAATATCAATGGAAAAAAGAAAAATATTTTAAATGAATGCTAGGTAATTATAATGGCCATACTTGGCCTGATACTTAACCCTAAGTTCAGCAATCACAGATGTTTAGGACAATGTAAAGGCATTTATTTGAATGACTAGTATTACAACTAAAATTGGTATGGCTTTTACAAAGAATTTTCCTCAAGACAATTTCTGTGAATTAGAGTTCTCATCATACCCATTTTGTAGATAAAGAAACTGGTTTAGAGAGTTGAAGTGACTTGCCCAAATTCCCAAATGTCCAAAATTCTTTTTACTCTAAGTCCTTACTGCTTGGAAAAAAAAAAGATTTCTAATTACTAAGTTGAAGGAATAAAAGAAGATTAAGGAAAAATCAATGATAAAAATTAGAGTAAATGAGACTATAGTCCACTTTTCAATTTGAAAGTAAAAGGAAGAATGAGAGACAATAATAGCCGGGTTGGAGAAAGGGTAAGTCAAGATAGACAAAAAAAAAGAGAGAGAGAGACTCCTAGCTTCATTAATTAATACACTATTTCTTCTGCAAATCATGTTTACTTTAAGATATTCTAATTAATTCTAAGAAAAAAATCTTGCCATTCTCTTTCAGAAAACTTGCAAAGTCTACGTTGGTTCTGATCTTGGTCTTTGGCGTCCATTATATTGTGTTTGTGTGTCTGCCCCACACTTTCACTGGATTAGGATGGCAGATCCGGATGCACTGTGAACTCTTCTTTAACTCATTTCAGGTACAAAGGGCAGAAAGATGATAAATGTTTGGTTTTTGCCCTTCTTTTGGCCAATTTTCCTTCCCCTTTTGCTTTGCTTTGACTAAGGTATGTGGCCCCCACAACCATGTAAGCTCCTTATGCTATAAATTTCAGGGTTTATCTCTCTCCGTCTTTGTTCATAAGAGCATTACCTCCAAGAGCTCTTTCTCACAAATGAAAACCCAAACTAAGGACATGTTTGGTGAAAAATTAATTTGATGTGATTATCAGATATAATTTTCAGATGGAACAGAGGCTTAACAACTCCTTATATTTGCATAACATTTTTACAAAGTTTCACATAGATTAACTGATTTGATTCCCATAGTAAGTCCTGTGAGATAGGTAAGTAAGCATGTCAAGACTTCGCTGTTGTTATCATTGAGCTGGGGTAAAAAACTGTGATTCACTAATTGTGGAAAGTCCCTCCTCTAATGCAACAGGGCAGTGTTACTCTGAATCTTAAAGAATCGCCTGAGGCACTGAGACGCTGGTGTCAAAGATGGGACTTGAAATCAAGTCTTCTATCCACTAGACTGCTCTGCCTCTCAAAACAAGTATCATCATTCCCATTTTACAGATGAGGAAACAGACTTAGAGAAGTACAATATGTGACTTGACCAAGTTCATGTATCTTGGAGGTGGCAGAATTGTGATTCCTTGTCAAGTCTTCTGACTCTAAGTCCAATACTTTTTTTTTCATGATGGCATGTTGCTGTGGTGTACGTTGAAACTCTAAACACTGATCTTAGTTCATTACTCTACCTGATTGTTATACCGTGCTTGATACCATTATTATACCTTTTTAAGTAGCTAAGAATCACAAAAAGATGCTACATAGTCTTTCAATCATAACAGAACTGGAACTAGTAAGAATAAATTTGGAAATGAAATAATGGTTCTACCATTTGTCTTTTTTATTTAGATCACCAAAGAAGAAATAAATACCCCTAAGAAGGAAAAGTGGTACGATGCTGAGTATTGAATCTTGAGTTAAATGATCTGAGTTCAAATTCCAACTCTCACATTTACTCTCTATAAACTCTATTTCTTTGAGAGAATTGTAACAAATACCCTCTAAGTTCCCTTTAAGCTTTAATTCAATGTTCTAATGATCTGGAAATCTGTGAATCATTTTTGTATCTATATATCAAAGGGGTGATAATTTGTTCCTTTCTTTGAGTACTCAAGTGCACTAACTTTCTGGTTCTTTATTCCACAGGGTTTCTTTGTTTCGATCATCTATTGTTACTGCAATGGAGAGGTAAGATAAAAATAGCATTCATTAAGGGTGTGACACCATCCCAGCCACCTCAGAAAGGTGACAATTTTTCCAGTGTTAAGAGACAAGAGAAGGAGGATTCATTTTCCTTATAAAACTTTTCACCAAGAAGTCAAAGTCTAAAGAAAATTAGCAAAGCTTCACCGATGCTAATCTTCCTTCAAGATGTTCTACTCAAGTCAAAAGACATGGATTCAAATCCTGGCTCTGTCATTTACTAACAGTCTAAGACCAAACAAGTCTCAACCTCCCTGGGTTTCATTTTCTTCATCTGTAAAATGGGAAAATTGGAGTAAATGACCTCTAATATCCCTTCTAAGTATCAATCCATGAACCTATGATCTCAAGTTTTCAAATTATTTGGAACAAAAAAACTTCTCAATTCCCAGTACAATTCCATAATAATTTGATCAGTGAAGCACTATTAAACACCTGTTTCATGCAAAGCACAGTGCTAGACACCTACAGAAATCAGTCAACAAGCATTTGTTAAGTGCCATCTGTATGCTCATCTACACAGGGCTTGATCCCCATCCTCTTGGGGTCTAGTGTTGTTTCTGTTGTTCAATCATTTCAACTGTGTCCAACTCTGTGACCCCATTTGGGTTTTTCTTGGCAAAGACACTGGAATGGTTTACCGTTTCCTTCTCCAGCTCATTTTACAGATGCAGAAACTAAGGGAAACAGGGTTAAGTGAGTTGCCTAGGGTGACATGGCTAGTAAGTGTCTGAGGCCAGATCTGAATTCAGAAAGATGTCTTCCTGACTTCAGGCCTGGTACTCTAACCACTATGCCACCTAACTGCCCATGGGATCTAGTAGATATGTTTACATACAGAGATAATTATAATGTATGACAAATTCATTAAGGAGCAACAAAGTAGTGGCTAAATTTTCCAAGCACTGATTTTAAACCCTCTAGAAAACCGTTAGATAACTTAACTCCACGGGTAATGAGCACTACTTTATGATATCCCACACAGTTAAACCTAGTTTGAGTCCACATTCTCAAGAAATTCCAACATGTATTTTAATGAGCAAAAACCCATTACCACATGTTAGCTGCTCCTGTTACAAACTGGTGATGGGTCAAGTTTAGGTAGTTTTAATTAACTAGAAAGTAACAAAACTGGTGGCAAATTATGACCTAAATATTTTAAGGAAGTTCCATTACTGATGATCCAGGCTGGGGTAAGCTACAGATTCTCTCATTCTGCCTAATGTAATCTAATGTAAGACCTGGAAAAGAAATGCTGAAAGAAAAAATAAACAAATATAACTATGGCTCCCAATGCTGCTGACTAGCTATTTATTCTGGACACAGCCAAGGTTAAAAAATTGACTAGTTCATATTGCATTAAATTGAAGGGAATCTCGTTGAATCTTTGGGGAGAACTTTTTGTTTTGTACCTTTGAGATATATGTATTTGTATTTACGTGTTTGTTTACTGTTTCACTTTTATTTTTTCCCCAGGGGGAGAAAGGTCATGGCAAATATTATTTGAAATATCATTGGGTTTCATAAGCACTTCTAGAATGCTGCATCAGTCCTTGTCTGGAGATTAAGCATAATGAAACAAAATCAGAAATCTGAGGATAAGTTCCAACCCAATGAGACCAATTTCTCATTGATTTCTATTCTTAACATTCCTTCTTTCTCCCTTTCTCCCCTCCTGCAGTGCTCCTGGGGAAATAATGATGGGTGTTTTTTGCATTTCTAGCTAAAGACCACTCCCATCACCTCTACCCACAGTGAGCATTAAGTAAATATTATTTACTTGGTAGATTGCTCTCCATTGTACCTACTTTCAGGAGATGTTTTCTTCTCTCTACCAATAAGCAATTTCTATTTGGCCCCATATCCACTTTTGGCAAAGAACTTAGAACTGGTCAAATAGTCTTAAACAAACTTCACGATTTTTTATGATTTCAAAAATATAATAAAATTATTTTGCTCTAGGTTCAAGCTGAAATCAAGAAGACATGGACCAGATGGAATCTGGCTATTGACTGGAAAAGGACAACTCCATGTGGCAACTATAGGTACGGCTCCGTCCTCACCAATATGACTCATAGTACCAGCAGCCAGTCTCAGATGGTGGCAAGTACTCGACTGGTGCTGATCTCTGGCAAAGCTCCTAAGAATGTCAACAGACAGCCTGACAGCCATGTGAATTTACCAGGCTATGTTAGGAGCAACTCAGAACAGGACTGCCTCCATCAGTGGATCCATGAGGAACCCAATGAAAATGAAGAGAAGCAGGTGGATGCCATATCACTGAAGGAGTGTTTGAAGGCAGTTGGAACTGTCCCAGACCCTGAGGAAAACAAAGGTAAAATTGAGGATGCTGTGTGAAGTACATTACTGGCACGTGTCTAGAATTTGGTTTTATTATGAGGGAAAATTGTAGTGATATTTTTCCCCAAGTCAAAGATGACAGTTTGATTATAAAGTATTAATCCTAAGAGTTATCCACTAATATAAGTGTGATTCAATAATTATGAAAGGCATTAAGTGAAAATTATAAGTAAAATTTTTATTTTGACATGAAATTCTACTTGGTTTGTAAGAATGTGGTACCTACTTAACACGCATGTAGATTTATATGACTGTGGTATGAAAAGATTTTTTGGATTGGCTCAGTCCCTGCTAGGAAAATATTACCAAAAGTATGTGACTTTTACTGTTCAGGTTCAATCTGAAACCAAGAAGAAGGTGAAGACCAAATGGCATCTGTCTGGAGGTGATTTTTGCCCTGTAAAAATAAGATGTTACTGTGTCTCCCCACCCCCACCCTCTTTAGTTAGCTTTTACCATTGCCCTCATCTGAGCTATACAACAGTACTATTAAGTGGATGGAAAAATAATTTGAAAGATCAAAGATCTGAGAAGATGAAGAGCAAATGAGAAAATAAGTCTGCTGAGCTTGGGGAAAAAATAATGGCCAATTAGAGCAGGTTTCTTTCTAGGAATAAGGAAAATTGCTACAAAGCTGGTGCAGGACATAATCTCTTAATGCATGACACTTCTGCAAACCAGCAAGAGCCTGGTGCTTTATTTCTCGTGCTGCACTCGAAATCATGACACAGGACAGGGCTCATGCAATGAACAAGAGCTTTGGAAGCTCCTACTGCAAGTGAGCATTTGTCTTTGTACTCAGTTGCACTGTTTCAACAGCATTTCCTGAACCTTCTCTCTTACTGAATATTGTAAAATGGCATGTGGAGAAATTAAAAGCTCATTTCTCTCCCTTTTGATGTCCTCTTCTTTAACATTATAGAAGCCTTGCTGCTTCTTCCATTTTTCTTTCTTGAGAGCGTTAGGCATTGACTTTTCCCATGTATGCTTTTACTCATCATTAAATCTCAGGGTGTTTTTTCCCTTAGCTGCCAGTCAACCCAAGCATTACTACATTGTGGTATTTTGGGGTTGGTATTATTTGGACCTAAGCAGGCTCCAGCTGGAAGTTCCTCCTCACCTCACCCTTAGGACCTAATTTCTCCAGAATTCTAAAGTTAGCTGATTTGCAAACTGTCTACTCTAGGCTTTAGACTGAATGATGATCACAAAGAAAAAAAATTTTTTAAATAGAAAATATTCTCCCCACTCCATTGTAAGGAGCTTACATCAAAGACACCTGAAAACAATTTGAAAGCAACAAGTCAACAAGCATTTATTAAACACTTACTATGTGCCAGGCACTATAATACATATACATGTACATATACATATACACACACACACACACACACACACACACACACACACATATATATATATATATATATATATATATATATATATATATATATATATATATATATATATATATATATATATGTATATATATATATATATATATATATACACATATATATGTACATATGTGGGTGTGGGTGTGCCAGGCAAGTTCTGTGCAAGAGGTTTCATCATATGAAAGATAAAATAAAGACGCTTAAGCAAAGTAAAACATTGACATCACTATAATAAGTATTTAGGCAATAAGCACACATAATGCAAGAGTAGAATGCCCTAATGTTTAGTACCATTTCCACATTTCTTTAATTGTGTGGGTATGTTCCAGACAGCATTGTCCACTTCTATACTGTTTATCCCCCAGCACACACACAAACACACACACACTGAAATGCTCTCATTTGGGCAGGATGCAGAGCAATATTATATGACCAGGATTCTAGTTCAATGTCTAGGTATCTAGTAACTAGATATCTAGTTTGATCAAGCCACTCAACTGTCCTCACTACCTACTTCAGTTTCTCCATCTATAAAATGAGGGTAGCATCTGCCTATCTCATAAATATTTAAGGACAAATGAAATACTTCAGAAAAAAGGTTTCACAAAATAAAAGCACTATAAAATACAAATTTTTTTTGTTGCTGTTTTGTTTTTAAATTCAAATTTCATGTTTTCTGATTATACCATAAGGGTGCCATTGATCAAACACACGTATTTGTAGAATATAAGTAGAATTTAGAATATATTATAGAATATAAAGAATCTAAAATGGGGTTTATGGAACCAATCTAGATGCCAAGGTTACTTTAGCATTCCTCCAGCATTTCTGCTCTTCTGCCACCAAGGCCCAACTTACCTAATTTTCTTAGAAGAAATGAAAAATGAAGCTTTTGTAATGTTTTCACTAAACTAGACACCTTTATACAGAAATGTCACTAAGTTCCACTGCTTTATTGGTTCAGCAAAAAGTAGAAAAATATCAGGTGTGTTGGCTGGTATGCATTAGTCCATTTTTATAGTTTAAGCCCAGGAATTCTTTCCAAATATTCTTCAAAAGCGGCATCCTGTCCCATTTTGCTTAAAAGTCTTTTTAAAAGGCACTTAATGCAAGTATTTTTCAGGAGGTAGTTATATTTAATTTGAACCTGGAATAATTGCACTTAGAAATTTGCTTTAAAACTCTAATGAACAGATTTGAATTAAATGACATTGAAGGGAAATGAGAACACACACTGTACTGTTTTTAGAACCAGTTTTTGGGCTTCAATTTCTGAAACTGAGATGTTTCTGAAATGTTTCTTTCTAAAGCAACAGACTTTTAGCCTTTGGAAAATGCAACAGATGCTAAATGCTAGTGACCCAATGTGCTGCCTCAGGTCAATCAAAGCAGCCCAGCTATGAATGTTTTCCTGATAAGGCTTGTTTATGTGAACGTTCCATTCTATTACTGAATTTTTGCATCAGTCAAAAGACCGGCATCGCCAATAGTACAATTTCCCATTGTCTATTGACAACAGGAATAGAAAACTGATTTGGGTCAGACTGCTTTCTTTGATACCCATATATTCTATTCCCTAATTACACTCTATTTTAGGAGTGAGATAGAACCAACAGAGCTTGGTAAGGAATAGTGATGTTTGCTTCACAGGCTCTGATGTCCATGACCTGTTACAGCATGCCTATTTGCCTAAGAGCACTGAATTCCCTATACCTTTCAAAACAAATTACACATAGTACAGGTAAGCAGTTATGTATAATTTCATCTAGGGGGTGATATCCCCAAAAGTATTCTATTCATGTAGGATTTCCCTTGGAGATTTGGATGTAGTTCTTGCTTGTGAAGAATTCTAATGGCCAAAGATAGCTAAATTCTGTGATTTGCTTAGTTGTTTCTGTGCATAGTCAGTTTCCCTCAGTTGTTCTGAAGCATGTGTGAGATCCAGAGGTGGTCCAAATTGGGAGTGAATTGTTCCCAGAAATTATTATTTTTAGCAGAAAAGAATGGTTACTTCTTCTGATAGCAGGTACATAAGTTTAATCAAGCATCTAGTAGGTACTTTCTTCTTTTTGTGGAATCATCTCCGGAGCTACTTCTCTAACTTCAACTAGTATTGATGGGATGAGTCCCCAGAAGGCAATTACCTCTCTGTCAAGGTTGCAGGGGTAACCTTGAGGAGCTAGGTTTCTAGAATTATCACTCACAAGCCCCCACCAATATGCTTCCCATTCATGTTAGTCAGCATGACTTGAATAAACTTTTAGCAAAAGGTATTTATTAAGGCAATAAAGCAAGAACAATTGCTAAAAAACATTCCCCCCAAAAAAAACCCAGCATATGTTTTCCCACAAATACAAGTAGAGTTTGTGGGGAGATGGGACATTAAATAATGACATGTGTAGAAAATATTTGTGACAAAAAGAGGACCTCCCAGTTCCTGGCCATGGAGGTCAATTTGTGGTTTTCAAAATCAATATATGACTCACAAGGATCATTTCTGTTTGAGTTTAACGCCACTGGTCTATGCAATATCTAAGGTCCTTTCTACCACTGAATCTAATGATAATAATAATGATAATCTATTAGTACCTTAGGGGCAGCTAAGAGTCACAGTGGATAGACTACCAGGCCTGGAATTAGGAAGACTCATCTTTTTTAGTTCAAATCTGGCCTCAGACACTTACTAGCTGTGTGACACTGGACAAATCACTTCACCCTGTTTGCCTCAGTTCCCCATTTATAAAATGAGCTGGAGAAGGAATTGGCAAACCACTCCAGTATTTCTGCCAAGAAAATTCCAAATGGAGTCATGGAGAGTCAGACACAACTGAAAATCAACTTTAACAAAAATCAGTGACTTCATAATAAGTTGGTCAAAGGAGCAGAAAAGTATGTTTTGATTGGGGAGGTAGTGAGGAAAGACCTGCAGAGCTAGATTAAGTAAGGCATTATGGTAAAAATTTTGGTTGTGCAGTGGGTAATATAAGCTGGGGGAAAATGAGAAGAATCACAAATGGCAGAAATAGGAGAAGGAAGAGTAACACAGATTAACATTCCTAACAAGATTTTGCCAAAGCCCAGCTTTATTATTGGGCAGGAAAAAATAAGACACAGAATAGAAAAAATCTTTATAACTAGATTTCCCACAAAAAAAAAAGTTTGCTCCCTAGGTTACATAGACAACTAACAGATATGGAGAGAGGGAGGGAGGGAGAGAGGGAGAAGTGAGGAGAGAGAGACAGAGAGACAGAGAGAGAGAGAGAGAATTTGCAGGTATGTGAAAATATGGAAATAGTCAAAGTTGGGGTAGTTGTAGAGAGGCACAGTGGTATATTGTTAGTTAAAAAGCAATTTGGAATTACACAAATACAGTTACTAAAATGTCTATACCCTTTGAGCCATAGATTCCACTACTAAGCATGTACACCAAGGAGGTCATTGATAAGAAGAAATTCCTCACAGACAACAAAATTTATTTAGTAGCACCTTTTATGTAGCAAGCAGTTGCCCATTGGTTGGAAAATGTCTAAGTAAGTTGTGCTATGTGAATGGAATGGAATGGGACATTTATTCTGTTGTAAGAAACAATGACCATGATGA